CCCGCCGGCGTCCCTGGGACTTCCACGTCTTACAAATATCCTTTTGTTTCCACTTGGCATTTAATGAAAACAATTCAGAGAAAGAGACACATACACACCCGCTGCCTAAGATGACCCATTTTACTAGTGTTTTCAACCTCAAGTAAGGGCGACTGTGAGGTCCTGCAGTGCCTGGGTTAAACCAGTTTCAGAAAAAATAAAGTGTGATCACACTTTATAACATTATTAACAGGAGAACAATTCCAGTGTCAGCTGGCAAGGGTTTCGGTGACTCATGCTAGAGAAAACAGTGCTTAACCCCTGCCTTCCAGGGGAAAAGACCCGCCCCCGCCCGCCCCCCCCCAGAATTCAGCTCTGTTCACGGCGCCCCCTGCTGGCCACGCCTGCACCACCCACAGCCTCTTGATTCCTGGATGTTTGTGCTGAATATTCCAGAATGTACTGAATGGACACAGGCCTTTTAGGGTGTTGTACAAACCCCCCCATCTGTGGCATTTCTAATCCGTTTTCAAATGCATTTCTTGTGCTTCACATTTTACAGCTGCCCAGGAGGCTAAGAGGGGGCTACAGAAAGTCAACTTGTTTACCATCTATGCAGAAATTAGCAAGGGACTTTGTTTACGGGCGGCTGAGTTCGGTGGAATTGCACGCCTGTTTCTGGCACAAATCCTGGCCTGTCAATGCAAATCCCATCAGCTGGATTCAGACCTCTGTGTGCTTGTTTACAGAACGATCAGAACCATGAAATCTACTGAGGGGCTGGTCACATGGATTGTGCAAAACCATCGTGTTCTCCAAGGAGAAGAACAGCTGAACTCACAGGAGGGAGTCAGGAGCCGTGTCAGCACATCCTGAGGAGCGGGAATGTGGACACGCGCCCGAACCTTCACATCAGTGAGGCTCCAGGGGTGCCAGGTGGGGACACAGCTGACGGGAGGTGGGGGCCTTCCCCCCACGGTCTGGTGTTGTTTTGGAAGAAAGGCTGATAGACGCTGTTCAAGCTCAGTGAGGCTGAAATAACAGCAACGCTGCAGGGAACAGTGAGCCTCCCCTCACCTGCCTGGCGCTCCGGTCGTTCTTCAGGAGGCCCTGCTGAAGCCCCATGAGGTCCAGGAAGAGCGACTTGGCAAAGTGGTCTAAGGCGTAGGCCGCGGCCAGGTACGGAAGGAGGCGCCATTGCTAGAGGGGACAGGACACATGCGTGAGCACACCTACGTGCAGACAGGGAGCCGACCCGCTTCA